AAATTCTCACAGCAAAAATTCTGGGTTTACATGTTAATAGAATTAGGGACCCTCTTTTCAATGGAACACTATAAAATATTTGGGAATGATGAAGTAGAAGAATAGTAAAGGATAACAGATGATGTTAAATATATAGTGTTAAATGCAAAATGCAAGCTATGACACAATAGTCAATATTGTCTTATAAAAAGTTTGTGTAGGAGCCTCCCCTGGTGGCACAGCGGTTGAGCGCTGGGCTGCGAAGCTGCCCGCAGTCTCTGCAGCGCCAGTTCGATCCCCAGCCGCGAGGGTCCCACATGGTGTGACAGACCTCTCCCGCCGTGCCCGCTGCTCCCCTCAGCAGTGTACTTCGTCAGTCTGCCTGTTCTGCCACCCCCTCTGGCTCTGGTGAATTCTCTCACCCTCTTGTGCTTCTGACTGTACCCAGTGCTTGTATAAATCAATCAATCAATCAATCAATCAATCTTTAAAAATTAAAAAAATAAAAAGTTTGTGTAAATAATGGACCATCAAAGTTGCCCATGTCCTGAGCCCTCAGACCTGTGACTATGTCACCCTACATGGCAAAAGGGAATTTCCATGTAGTATTAATTAAGGATATGGAGATAGGGAGATGCAGATAGGCTAAATGTAATCATGAGAATCTTAACAAGAGGATGACAGAAGGATCAGAGTTAGCATTAGGCCATGTGGCAATGGAAGCAAGAGTGATGTGATGTTGAAGTGATGTTAGGAAGTGATCATGAAATGAGAAATGCAGACAGCTTCTAGAAACTGAAAAAGGCAAGGATTTAAACTACCCTCAGACTATTGAGAAAGAATGAGCTTTGCTGATACTTTGACTTTAGTTCAGTGACACTGATTTTGGATTTCTGACCTCTAGAACTGTCTTAAGCCACTAAATTTGTGTTAACTTGTTACAGTAGCAGTAGGAAACTAATACAAGTGCTTACCACAGGGTAAAGAAATTTAGAGTGATTTAAGTTTCTGGGTTTTTGTTTTTTTTTTTTTTTTGAGATGGTAGGAAAGAAAGCACAGAAGAGAAAAAAGTAGGTGTGCTTACATGTCCCATTAAAATATAAATTGGTAGTAGGTATGTAGGGCTATGTTAAAAACTACGTAAACATTTTAGGAAGGTTTATTTATTTAGGAAATAAACATTTAAAGGAAATATTTATATTCCGAAAAATAAATTTTGAGAAAACATTTTTGAATGTGAATTTACATTTGGGTTGAAGGATCATTCTAGACTTAATTTTAATGGGAAAAATTCCAACTGAAGACTCCAACTAAATCTTCAATAGCGTCTAATTGATAAGGCATATTAAGGTCTATCTACATAATGGAATGACATACAGACATTAGAAATTAGATGTACAAGAATGGTTTATAACAAGAAAGTTGGTTTAGGAAACTATTAACAGTGTGAATCAATTTCTATAGAATAAAAAAAGGGCTATTTCTCCTGTCACATTATAATCTTTCTCATCCTTGGTTAATGGTTTCACAGGTGCTTTCTATTTTTATATATATTCTAATATGCCTTTTCTTTTTTACTTAAACTTTTTTTAAAAAGATTTTATTTATTTATACAAGAGCTAGGGTATAGGCTAGGGGCACGGGGGGTGAAAGGATTAACCAGAGACAGAGCAGAGAACAGAACAGGCAGACTGACTGAAATACACTGCTGAGGGGAGCAAGGGCGAAACAAGAGAGGTCTGCTGCACCATGTGGGTTTCTCCCTGGCCAGCCGGGAGTCGAATCAGCGCTGTAGAGGCTGCGGACATCTTCACAGCACGGTTCTCAACCCCCTGTGCCACCAGGGAGGCCCTAATATGCCTTTTCTTAGTTACCCACAGTGAAATTACATTTGACTTAATGAATTCAAGAAAACACCAAAGGCCTCCTATGATGACCTCTATTTTTTGCAAAGCGAAAAAAGAATCCTGATGTTCTGAATGTGAGTTGGGTTGAGGTTATTTTGGCAGCAAAATAACACTTTTGAAGATTTTCTCAGGAAATAATCCAGCAGATAAATATAGATCTGGTTGTAGGGAATTCATAGCTATATTAATTGAACAGGCTAAAATTAGAAGTGACTTTTAAAAATAGTATCAGAGTGGGAGGGATGGGGGAAGCAAAGTGGGGAGGGGACACAATGGACTATGGTGGAGAACTGTGGGTGCCTTGGTGGTAGGTATAGTGTGGCAACATACACCTGAATCGTATGATCTTACATCTCTAAATAATATACAATGTTGTAAACCAGTGTTACCTCAATGAATAAATTCATTTTGAAAACAAAAATAGTTCCAGAAATAGAATTTGCTCATTAAACTGAATGGAATTCTATCACTGAACAAGAAGGAGCAGAAAAATATTTAGAGACACAAATGCTGGGGTTTATCATTTTGTTATAAAAAGCAAATATTTGTATGATTATATTTTTTATGAAAATCAGCATACATATATAAAATTTATACAATGAAAAATAATGTTCTCAAATTAAGCTTTGGTCATCTCTGTGACATGGAATTCTGATCACTTTTATAAAATCTTATTAACATTCTTTATCTACAAAAAAGTATTGGCCCTTGTATAATAATATTTTTAAGCCTGAACAAAACAATAAAAGGAACCAAGGGGTTTCAATCAGTTAAATGAGCATAACCCCAGTGTAATTAAAATACCCAGTGGAGGCATTTACTTGGGCACAGTATCACATTACCCATGGGACTCTATTAGAGAAAATTCAATGAGAGTAATTTGACAAATTTCATTTACAACTCTGAAATACACAGAAACTTTTTTTTTTTTTAAAGATTTATTTATTTATTTATTTATACAAGCACTGGGTACAGTCAGAAGCACGGGAGGGTGAGAGAATTCACCAGAGCCAGAGCGGGGAGCAGAACAGGCAGACTGACGAAATACACTGCTGAGGGGAGCAGCAGGCGCGGCAGGAGAGGTCTGCGCGCCATGTGAGACCCTCGCCTGGCAGCCGGGGATCAAACCGGCGCTGCAGAGGCTGCGGGCAGCTTCGCCAACCCAGCGCTCAACCGCTGCACCACCAGGGAAGCCCCTACACAGAAACTTTTTAAACATTGGAGTAAAATTGACATACAACATATTAGTTTCAGCTGTACAACTCAACAAATTCAACATTTGTCCACATTGCAAAGTGATTGCCACAATAAGTCTATGTCTCTTCTATTAGCAATTTTCAAATTTTTCCTTACAATATTATTGCCTATGGACTCCACACAGAAAACTTCTACCTCTCTTTCCCCTTCACCCATTTTACCCACTCTGCAAATCCCCCCTCCCCATTGGTAACCAATAGTTTGTTCTCTGTAACTTTTGTTTTGTGTTCTTTTAATTCCACATATAAGTGAACTCTTATGATATTTGTCTTTCTTTGACTTATTTCTCTTAGCATAATAACCCCAAGTTCTGTCTATATCGTCTCAAATGGCAAGATTTCTTCTTTTAATGGTTGAAATGTAGTCCACTGTGTGTGTATGGCTATGTGTGTGTGTGTAATCTTAAATGTCCTTTGTCCATACATCTATCAATGGACACCTTGTTTGTTTCTTGGCTATTATAAATAATGCTGCTATGAATACAGGCGTGCAAATATCTTTTTGAATTAGTGGCTTCATTTTCTGCAGGGTATGTAGTTATAGCCACAGCTTTGTTCCTGGGATTAGTAATTTGTAGTCTCTTCTTCTTTGTTAATAATGCTAGAGTTTTGTCAGATTTGTTAACTTTCTCCAAGAATTGAGGTAATTGGATTATGTTTATTTCTCCTTTCAGATAAATTAGTTTTTTTTAAGATTTATCTTATTTATTTATACATACAGGAGCTGGGGTGTAGGGAGAGTGGGGTGGTGGTGAGAGGACTCACCAGAGACAGAGTGGGGAGCAGAACAGGCTGATCTACTGAAATACACTGCTGAGGGGAGCAGCGGGTGAGACAAGAATGGTTTGCTGTGCCATGTGGGTCAGCTCCCTGGCCTGAGATTGAACTCATGCCTCAGTGACCACAGCGGCCGGTCATAGCTTGATAGCCCTGAGACTTAACTCCTGTGCCACCAGGGAGGCCCCCAGTTCTATCAGTTTTTGCTTCCAACATTTTGCAGCTACTTTTGGTAGTACACATTAGGACTTATACGTCTTCTTGAAAATTTTCCTTGCTCTAGCATCTGCTTTGTATGATGTTAATGTGATCACTTTTGCTTTTTCTTGATTAATAATCATGTTGTATATTTCCCCATCATGTTACCATCATGTTACTTTCAAATACCTGTATCATTATATTTGAAATGAAGTTCTTTGTATCTATCATATAGTTGGGTGATGTTTTTTAATCCACAATTCCAATCTCTGTCTCTTAGAGGGTATATATGTATCAATAGATAATTTGCATTTAATATAATTTTTGATATTAAGGTATAAATGTACCTTTTTATTTTTTGTTTTCTGCTTGTTCTCCCTATTTCTCATTTCTTTTATTCTTTATCCTACCTTACTAGAGGTTATTGCAAAAATTTTAAATTTCATTTTATCAAAGTGTTTTTGGGTTTAACTCTATATAGTTTTATTAGTGGTTTCTCTATGTATTACAGGACATATATCATGTATAACTTATCACAATCTACTGGTATAAAATTTTTAGCAGTTTAAATGAAGTGCAGAAAACACCTCTCTTCACTTCCTTTTACTCTCATTTACAATGTGATTTTTGTAAATATTTTCATTACATTCATGGTGAACTACAATACATCAGGTAGTGTTATAATGTTTGCTTTGACCTGAGGCATAATTTAGAAAACTCAAGAGAAAGATAATCTACTGGGCCTCCCTGGTGGCACAAGGGGTTAAGACGCAACCTATGAAGCTATCCGCAGCCACTGCAGCACGAGTTCAATCCCCCTGCCGGCCAGGGAGCTACCCACATGGCACGGCAGACCTCTCCTGACTTGCCCGCTGCTCCCCTCAGCAATGTATTTCAGTCAGTCTGCCTGTTCTGCTCTCCTCTCTGTCTCTGGTGAATCCTTTTACCCCCACACCTCTGGCCTGTACCCCAGTTCTTGTATGCGTAAATAAATCTTAAAAAAAAAAAGAAAGGTAATCTACTATACCCATTTTTTTCAATTCATTGCTTTTTCTTCCTTCATAATGTGCTAAGATTCCTTCTTGATCATTTCTTATTTTGGTACTTCCTTTAGTTTTTTTTGTGGGTGGGTCTGTTAAAGACAAATTCCCCTATGTTTTCTTGAGCAGACTGTCTTTATTCCTTCTTCATTATTGGGCAATTTTTTTTAGTAAATATAGAATTATGGTTCTATAGTTCTCATCTATATTTTTGTTTCAAGAATTTTTGTCATTGTTTCTTGAAGCATTTTTATCATAACAAAAATTCATATCCGATAACTCAGTATCTGTATCATTTTGGTTTTGGCATCTATATTTTGTAGGGAGAAGACAGAACAGAGTTTTGTAATAAGAGGGAAGTGATGGGGAGAGAAAGGACGATAAGGAAACTTTTAAGGAAAAACCAGTGTGCTTATTGTAAGGAAGGAGAACATCAGACGGACCTTCAAAAAACTCTTTATTTCACAACTCCCATATTACTTGGCATTTACATACTTCAGTTCACCTTATTCTGTTTATTGTTGTGTGACATGTACACAAATGACACAGGTAAAGAGAAAATCATTACATTTAATTATACAACTTCAAAGACATACATGTTTCAAGCCCAAACCATTAAATTCCAAATTAGTTTTCTCATCAATTCAAACAATGCTTATCCCAGACAGCGCTTCCTGGAACCACTTGTACTAATTTCCATTATATTTCTCAACTTAAAATTTCTACAGGCACGGTATATATCAGTTTTTAAAAAAGATTTATTTTTATTTATTTATGCATACAAGAACTGGGGCACAGGCCAGAGTTGCAGGGGGGGTGAGAGGATTCATCAGAGACACAGTGGGGAGCAGTTTCAGGTGGATCAATTGAAATACACTGCTGAGGGGAGCAGAGAGTGAGACAGGAGAGGTCTGCTGCACCATGTGGGTTGCTCCCTGGCTGGGGATGGAACTCATGCCTGGTGATAGCTTGATAATGCTGAGACTTTAACCCCTGCACCACCAGGGAGGCCCTATATATACCAATTTTTATATCCTCCAGGGGCCGAAATAATTCGACACATACACACATACAACATATGGATGCAAACACTCCCTTAGTTTTCATTTAACCCATGTGGAATATCTTACACAGCTTCAGTTTCACTCATATTTGCAAAGATACTCTGCAAAGAGATAAAAAGGAAAAAAATCAAATCATATGCAGAGCCATATACAAAAACATTGTACACAACAAAATTGTAAAATAAAATAAATAAATAAATAATTTAAAGCCAAAATTAAAACCATTTTTTTCCATAGAGTCAAAATCAAATTCCCCAAACTGAGAAGTGTCAACATATGTCATGTGGTTTCAGATGCCGTCCCTCATACTTTAGACTTTGTAAGGGAAAAGAAATTAGAGCAGTTACCATAGAAGGCTCACAGCCTTATTCATCATCTCAGGTTTCCAGCGTTCACCAGGAGGTAATCCTGGGATATCCTGCAAGAGAAACCAAAAGAGAAAAAATATTTAAGCTTTTGTCTTTCTCTTAAACAAGCATCTCAAATCTCTAGGTCATTGTATTCCGGGGATTTCTTTACTCTGGAGTGATGCACACAGGTTTTTTTATGCTTGCTTGTTTCAAAGAGGTGTGAGTGGTTGGCAAAACACCATAAGAACCAGACCATTTCTCTGACAGTTGAGGTTGGGCATCTCCACTCTGTTAGGTTGTAAGATCTTATCACCAGATCTGAAAGGATGCAGTGGTTCAGCCAGAGGCATAGAGTCCCTAGAGAGAGCAAAGCTGCGAGTTACAGCTAAAATTCCCTGGACATGTTTTATGTACTGTTTGATCTATATTCTTTTTTTTTTTTTTTTTTTTTTATGAACCCAGGCATGGGCTCAGAAGGCTTTTTTTTTTTTTTTTTGAGGCATGTTTATTTATTTATTTATTTGTTTTTTTGTTTATACATGCACTGGGTACAGTCAGAAGCGCGGGAGGGTGAGAGAATTCACCAGAGCCAGAGCGGGGAGCAGAGCAGGCAGAAGGACCGAAGTACACTGCTGAGGGGAGCAGCGGGCGGCAGGAGAGGTCTGCGCGCCATGCGGGACCCTTCTCTGGTGGCCGGGGAGCAGCCGGGGATCGAACTGGCGCCACAGAGGCCGCGGGCAGTTTCGCAACCCAGCGCTCAACCGCTGCGCCACCGAGGAGGCCCTGATCTATATTCTTGTTCTACGTCTGGTCAGTGTTCAACACTGAAGCTTGGAATGGCCATTCAAAGATAATTTCAAAGGGGCTTAAATGTAGCCCATTTCTAGAAGCCACTCTTACCTGAAGGAGGATGATGAACAATACCTGATCCCAACTTGACATAGTTTCACCAAGTTCTTCTTTAGGGTGATTTCATTTTCTCAGTTTGTTCTCTAGATTGACAGTCCTCTTGCTGGTCCAAAGTAATTTAGAATTCAAACCCATATAGGTTGCTCCAGTGTGTACCAAAAAGTCAATCAGATGGTACTCCACAGTGAGAGTTACTTGGGGTTCCAGCAGGGTTATCGTTATAGGCTTTTCCAGAGAGATTGGTGCCTCTGGGCCCCCCTACATCTGAACTCTCATTCTGGTCCACCATTTGCCTTCTTTCTCCCTCCTTGCTTCTTCATTCCTTTTACTTTTGATTCCCACTTGTGACACTTTCTGAATCCTCAATTTGTGCTATTATTGGCTTCCTTTCTACTTTCTCATTCCTTCCCCCCTCTCTTGCTTCCAGTTTCCTACCTTGCAATAAGCACACTGGTTTTTCTCTGAAGGTTTACTTCTCCTTTCTCTCCATGTCCCTCTCTCTTACACCTAAAATCCTGCCCTGTCTTTTCTCTCTGTGAATACATTTGCAGGCTTAGGCCTTCTTTCCTTTCTTGCATTGTGAACTCTAAAGACTATACCCACCAATTTGGAGTAGTTGCCTGGCAAAGTCACAACACTTGGAAAACTGCCTTTACTTCTCCCTATACATCAGCACAGCGCTCAACTGGCCGCCGTTCTTCTTGCACTCTGCTCTTTTCCCTCACAGCCACTCATTATTTCAGATTCTCTTTCTGTTACTAATTTGGTACATGACGTCTCCACTGTCTCCTTAGTTCCAATATTGATGATGACCTTCTCTCCTCTTTTATTTCTCTACAGACTCTTCTAGGGCACTGCTTTTACCCTCTCTTTATTACTCACATTCGCAGTCATTCTGGCCTGCCCTGGCCAATCTCTCTAGGCAATTCAGTGGCTGATGCCGTTCTTTCAGCTTTCAGTGTCTTCTCAGATCCCGTAACCTGCCATTCATTTTTTTCATCAAGGTGCTTGCAGTCTTGCCTGCTCATTCACCACCCCTCTCTCCCAGGCCTGTGATGTAGTACGTTCCTGCCTGGTTTGTCAACATTCTGGCCCAACTTTTCCTTCCGGTGTCAACCCAAGGGGCCTACACGCCAATAAACTTTGGCAAATGGGCGTTACTCATTATTTATCTTTGGGCAGACTGGCCCACATCCACGTGTCTATTGATACCTTTTCCGGTTTTATATGGGCCACCACTCATTCAGGCGAATGGGGTGTCCACGTTATTCGTCACCTCCTCTCCTGCTCTGCAGTCATGGGCCGCCCCCTCCGTATTAAAACAGACAACAGACCCGCTTACACATCTCGCACTTTTGCTCCCTTCCCTCGTACTTGGGGAGCTTCCCATGTCACTGGTATTCCCCATAACCCTACAGGTCGGGCCACTGTCCAGAAAACTAACGGCTTAAACTTTTTCTCCTAAAACAAAAAGGGGGGAACTCAGCCCCTCTGGACACACCCCAGACACAGTTGTGCAAGGCTCTGTTTATATTAAATCATTTACAATCAACCACACAAAATTCTATTTCAGATACTCCTGTCCACGGTCACTTCCTGACTCCATCAGAGGAAAAAACAGAGGAAAAACCCTCAATTTTATATAAGACTCATCAAAATTCAGTCTGGCAAGGACCAGTCCCTCTGATCAACATGGGGGAGAGAGTATGCCACTGTTAGGTCTCCCCAGGGCATCCAGTGGGTCCCAGTGTGGTGCGTCAAACTTTACCACAAGTTGGCATGACAGGCTGAAAAACCCTGTTCCCCAGTTTAAGATGATAAAAATGATATCTCAACCAAAGATTAACCAGCCTTCTTGAAAATGACAACAGCTCGCTATGCCAGCAAAAAAATTCACCTGGGGCACATCAAAGGCCTAACGACTAATGCTGAAAATCTATTCCCAAACAGGGAGTACCCTGCACCTCTGAAAATCTATTTCTGGCTCTCCTCTCTTGCATGACAGCTAACTCCTCGGTGCGGACCCTTCACTAAGACAAAAATCAACTTCCATACACCAGACCTTATCAGATTCCCCAAACCAAACTTAAAAGAGAGAAGTAGAAGGTGGAGGAGAAGAAAAGAGGTGGAGGAGACGCAGTTAAGTAAACTAAAGGCTGACCCATGTCTAAATCAAAACATACACACAGGACCCCAACTGAAAACCAAACTTCTCAATTAGAGACAGAAATTCCTGCCACATGTCAAGAAGTTACAGTGTTCTTACGGCGGCAGCCAACACAAGGAAGAAACCCTCTGGGCTGGCCACCACGAGTCTGGTCCCACGTTGGATGCCAAACTGAAACCTGGACGGGGAAGAAGGTGGCCCAGTTGGCAGGTGTTCATCCATGTACACATGCTTATGACTTCAAGACCTGACTCAAAAATAGACACACAGAGTGAAACAACAATTGCAGGGTTTATTTATAAGGAGGCAAAAATAGGGAGAGATGAGAGAGAAAGAGAGAGGGAGAATAATAAACCAGTCATAAGGGGCTGGCTTCCTCAGCAGAGGACAAAGCAACTGGATGAGACAGTGAGGAAGAGGCCTGGGGGCAGATGCCAGGACACTGGCTGGGCCCTGGGGGATGGATACCGGCTTGGAAGGCTGCCTGCTGAAGCCTGAGGCCAAACTTGGAGCTGTTTTTGCAGGTTGGGGAGAAAGCAGGGAAGTCCAATTAACAGGAGATCAGAGAGCCACAGGGTCTGCCCTCATCCACCACTGGAGGGCTGAGCATGAGAGATGTAGGGGTATCATTACTAAGGTTAAAATCTAAACCCCATTCCTTGGCCAGCAGGCAGGTTTGGAAGGCTTGCATAGATAAGGGAATTGATAAAGTTGCTATGGGAACCAGGCCATAATAACCAATCACGTTGACAACAGATGCTGAAGCAGGGCGAGGACACATTCTCTGTCAAAGGTGAGTGCTCAAGGTCAGACATCCCAGCAAATAACTAGCCCAAACTGGCACCCCAAGTAAGAAAGCCCATGAAAATAGAGTATAAAAGAAAGCCTTAAGCCCTTCTTGGCATGCAGACCTCTCCTCCCTCACCCCCTGCTCCCTTGCCGTGTATTTCAATGAGTCTGCCATTCTGGTTCTCCACTCTTGTCTCTGGTGAATTCTTTCACCCCTGCCCTCACCTCAGTGATTCTACCCACTACAAGAGAGAAAGGTCTGGAAGGGTAACAATCTACAAAAAAAGCAGAGGGTCAGTTGCGTGTCTTCCAGTTCTTAAACCCCCAGGGCTGTGCCAATCCCCTATACTTCCCAGCAGTTTACTAGCTCAGTACCTTAGAGGGTGGAGTTTAACCCCTCATCCTAGCAGGGAAGTCTGTGCAGGGCAAACTGCGCAGGCCTATGGCAGTTCCTCCTAGTCTGGCTGCTCCAACAATCAGAGACCAAGAGAATGTCATTTCATTTCATAATAAAAAAAAAAAAATCCTAAGTTCCAAAAAGACCAAAGAAAAACAAAAACCTGGGCCTCCCTGGTGGCGCAAGGGGTTAAAGCACTGCACTATGAAGCAATTCACAGCCTCAGCAGCATGAGTTCCAGCCCCAGCCAGCCAGGGAGCAACCCACATGGCGAGGCAGACATCTGTCTCATCCACTGTTCCCCTCAGCAGTGTATTTCAGTCAGTCTGCCTGTTCTCTTCCCACTCTGTCTCTGGTGAATCCTCTCACCCCCTGCATCTCTGGCCTGTACCCCAGCTCTTATATGCATAAATAAATAAATCTTTAACAAAAAAGGAAAAGAAAAATCAATGATCAAAAATAAAATAGTTGCTGTATATCATTTAATCCAAGATGCTGTAATCCTTTGACATCAGAAATCAACAGTTTTCCAATTACATGAATGTATACCTCCTGTGTGCCAATAGTGGAGAAAGTAAATATACCAACATAAAAAGAAAAAGGGCTACATCTGCTGAAACACCCAGAGAATTTAGCAGAAACTTTTTATAATATTAGGCACAAACAAACAAACAAAAAACATACAAATGTCTGCTGGTTTCTTGTGTCATTAATTTAAGTGGAGGTGATTGAGTCCTAAGGTTCAAAGTGAAAATTTAGGGGGAAAATGCTTTTGGGTTAAATCTTTAAAGCAAAATAAAGGAGAA